TTTATCTGAAGAGTGCCACGTTATTTACGTGGTACGAAACTGTATAGTAATAAATATGCCAAACAAAGCTTGCTAAGTTTTTGTGTCTTTCTATTATGCTCTGGTTATCCATTGAGCACTCTATCATTGGTTTTTATAATAACCCTACACAAATATGTTATAAATACATATATATATATATATATATATATATATATATATATATATATATATATATATATATATATATATATATATATATATATATATATATATATATAAGATTAGAAGAAACTTGAACTACTTCATATGAACTTTATTTCTGAACTTTTGTCTTCTAATCTTATCAGCTCTACTACGGTATTGAGCACTCTACTCATATATGATTCCAAACCCCGATACTTGTCTATGTAGTATTTAAAACACGAGTAGGAGTGTTTTATCAGATATATAACGCGAGGCGCAGCCGAGCGTTATATATCTGATAAAACACGACAACGAATGTTTTGAATAGCTTAAAATACGACTACAAAAGAATACTAATTAGGATGAACCATAGTATAATCATGCTAATTAAGATGAACAATTATATAATGCCACATGTGTTTTATCAGATATAAAGTCACTCCACGTGACATATTATGGCTGACATGATTTTCCACAAGGTTTATGATTTATTAATGAGTATTTTAAATATATATATACATATATATATATATATATATATATATATATATATATATATATATATATATATATATATATATATATATATATATATATATATATATATATAGTACAATCTGCAGACATGCATGTTTCAGCGTTCAACGCCTCGTCAGTGCAGCTTGGTACACGTCTAGATACGTGGACACTCGTATTAATACCCCATGAACTTGCTCTCACCAAGGCATGTGGTACAACACGGTGACTCAACGCATCCAGACATGCGCAGAGCGTAATGGAGCCAGAGTGCTCGAACGACCACAAGGGAAGTGAGCTTTGCATTATCGCTAATAGACATCCATTAACAACTCCGCAGAGTGCTCAACAACACCGAAGTGAAGGAGCGTAAGAGTACAATCTGCAAACATGCATGTTTCGGCGTTCAACGCCTCGTCAGTGCAGCTTGGTACACGTCTAGATACGCGAGACACTCGTATTAATACCCCATGAACTTGCTCTCACCAAGGCATGTGGTACAACACGGTGACTCAATGCATCCAGACATGCGCAGAGCGTAATGGAGCCAGAGTGCTCGAACGACCACAAGGGAAGTATATATATATATATATATATATAACAATTCAAGTCTTCTTGATGTAATATAGAGTGCTCAATACTTTATTGTAGAGCTAAATATATTTAATTATTTAAATAAAGTACAAAACAAACGTTGTTACTCAGAGTTTCATACCTGAGTTTACAGACAATCTTCGGACAACTAAAGTTCTGTTAACTAAATTTGACGGTTTGGTTTTGTTTGCTTGCGCGTGCATGATTGCGCACGTTGTTTGATTGCACGCGAATGTATTTTCCCGCCAGAAATTGTTTTTGGTGGACGCAATTCGAGAATATTTTACTTCTTTTGTTGAGCAGCGAGTTCTTTTTAAATTTCATGATGAAAAGTTTTTCGTCGCTACACAAATTGCACTGATTACGTCCCGATCCGTATGCACTCGAATGTTTTAAAATTGTCCATTTAATTTTGTATGGGCGATTGCTTTTCTTCAAACTCCATATGTACTTCGACAGTTCAGTGTCGTTAGCATACGTAGCGATGTTGAATGATTTCTGGTGGTTCCTAAAACGCTCCTTGAAGGTTGTAGCCGTAATTCCAATATAGTGCCTTGTTTCTCCGTTGTCCTCCGCTGCGATCTTTGCATGGTAGACAATGCCTTTGGTTAAGCATTTCTTGTTGAGAGGACACGTATTCTTATCTCTGCAATTGCATGTTTTGTTGGTGTGTGGCACTGGTGTTGGTGTTGGTTTTAATGGTGGTGTTGGCGTTAACGTTGATGATGGGCGAGATGGTGATGGTGATGGGGGAGGTGGTACTGGTGATGGCGCTTTTGAAAGGATCTTATTGTTATGGCTGGATATCACGGATTTCACGTTTTTCAGGCAACTATAGCTCACTTTGATGGTATTCCTGTTGAAAATTTTGTTGAGGGCGGATGACTTAGGGAAGTGAATATCTACGAGGTGTAGAAAATCTTTACCAATGTTGGATCTCACGTTTTTACTGTAGGGCGGATTGAACCAGGTGATATTCCTTTTTCGGTTTCTTTTTGGTGTGTTATGGGTGTTATGATTTTGATAGTGTAACTTGCTTTGGTAGTTGCTGTGATGGAGGGCTTGTTCGTATAGAGGCGCCGATGAGTCGAATGCTTGTTTGTCGGAAGAGAGTCGGGAGATTCTTTTATTAATTGACACAGGTAGTTGTCTGATAATTGGAGGTGGGTGGTTAGAGTGGCTGTTGATATAGAGTGGTTGGTTGTTCGGTTTCCTATAGGTTTTGTAACTACCGTCAGCTAAGTTGAGCGTAATGTCTAGGAAATTAACAGTTTGATGACTGACCTCTGCCGTGATCTTTAAATCAAATTGATCAAATAAATGGTGCAATTTCTTTCTTGTCTGGTCAGCTAGACGAGCACGAGTTCCCTTCAGCAATATCAGTCCATCGTCGCGATACAGGCCGACACGATCTTTCCCAAACGTTATCGATAGTTCATTTAAGATGAATAAACCAACAAGTTCACAAACTTCCGCTCCGTCGAAACTTCCCATTGTGACATCGAACATACTTTGATTGTTGCGTTTAATCCAAGGCTTTTCATCATTAAATAGCAGTGAACTTCGAGCATGTTTAATGATGGCAATATGCTGCTCGGTTATAGTAGTGAAATTTGTCGCCCATTTGATCGCTTTATCCAGAAGTACTTCGGTGATTGAGGGGTAGAATTCGGCGATGTCGAAGGACAGGAAGGGGTTGTTTGCTTTATTATTTATGTCCTTGAACCATTCGATGACAGATTGCGAGTCTTTCCATTGGTTAAAACCAGTTGCAGTTCTAATCTTGGAATTAATGTCATCGAGAATCACTTTGCTCACTTTACCGAGTTCACTTTTTGCTGGATTTATAAGTCGGAATTTTGGGCTTTTCTCAAAGTTCTCCTTGTGATCTTTGACAGTAATGAATGCTTCACGTTTCGCCATGGTTTCAATACGATCGCTGATATTAAGATCTGAAGCAATATTCAGTAACTCGTAGTTAATGTCATCTATCATATCGTCGCTGCCAAGTTTGTACGTTTTTGTTATGTTTTCTTTCAATATTTTATCGTATACGTCGGGTGGGCTTTCGTAAATGTTCCTTGACTTATCAGCAAACGTGTAAACATTAGGAGATGATTTGATTTTCTGTAGATCATTGTCAAGTGTTGTAAGAAACTTATCATTTACCTTTCTGAATTCAATGTTCTCAATCATACGGACAAGGTCTTGTTCAAAACGTTTCATTTGGGTGATAGATGGAGGTGATTTCTTTGACTTTAAACCATAAGTATGCTTTTCAGTAATGTTGCAACCGTTTAGAAAGAAATGCGCTTTCCATCTCATACGACTTACGACGTGCTCAACCTTCTCAATGAGTCTTTTTCTGTACGCGTCTTTTGATGGTAGACCAATGTTCTTCAAAGAATAGTCAAACAGAATCCTTTGCATGTTGAATAACTTTATTTACTATTGCTTGTATACACAAAGCAGAGTGCACAACTGCGAACCAGGTGCTTTCAATAACAATTCAAGTTTTCTTGATATAATATAGAGTGCTCAATACTTTATTGTAGAGCTAAATATATTTAATTATTTAAATAAAGTACAAAACAAACGTTGTTACTCAGAGTTTCATGCCTGAGTTTACAGACAATCTTCGGACAACTAAAGTTCTGTTAACTAAATTTGACGGTTTGGTTTTGTTTGCTTGCGCGTGCATGATTGCGCACGTTGTTTGATTGCACGCGAATGTATTTTCCCGCCAGAAATTGTTTTTGTGGACGCAATTCGAGAATATTTCACTTCTTTTGTTGAGCAGCGAGTTCTTTTTAAATTTCATGATGAAAAGTTTTTCGTCGCTACACAAATTGCACTGATTACGTCCGGATCTGTATGCACTCGAATGTTTTAAGATGGTCCATTTAATTTTGTATGGGCGATTGCTTTTCTTTAAACTCCATACGTACTTCGACAGTTCAGTGTCGTTTGCATACGTAGCGATGTTGAACGATTTCTGGTGGTTCCTAAAACGCTCCTTGAAAGTTGTAGCCGTAATTCCAATATAGTGCCTTGTTTCTCCGTTGTCCTCTGCTGCGATCTTTGCATGGTAGACAATGCCTTTGGTTAAGCATTTCTTGTTGAGAGGACACGTATTCTTATCTCTGCAGTTGCATGTTTTGTTGGTGGGTGGCACAGGTGTTGGTGTTGGTTTTAATGGTGGTGTTGGCGTTAACGTTGGTGATGGGGGAGATGGTGATGGGGGAGGTGGTACTGGTGATGGCGCTTTTGAAAGGATCTTTTTGTTATGGCTGGATATCACGGATTTCACGTTTTTCATGCAACTATAGCTCACTTTGATGGTATTCCTGTTGGAAATTTTGTTGGGGGGCAGATGACTTAGGGAAGTGAATATCTACGAGGTGTAGAAAATCTTTACCAATGTTGGATCTCACGTTTTTACTGTAGGGCGGATTGAACCAGGTGATATTCCTTTTTCGGTTTCTTTTTGGTGTGTTATGGGTGTTATGATTTTGATAGTGTAACTTGCTTTGGTAGTTGCTGTGATGGACGGCTTGTTCGTATAGAGGCGCCGATGAGTCGAATGCTTGTTTGTCGGAAGAGAGTCGGGAGATTCTTTTATTAATTGACACAGGTAGTTGTCTGATAATTGGGGGTGGGTGGTTAGAGTGGCTGTTGATATAGAGTGGTTGGTTGTTCGGTTTCCTATAGGGTTTGTAACTACCGTCAGCTAAGTTGAGCGTAATGTCTAGGAAATTAACAGTTTGATGACTGACCTCTGCCGTGATCTTTAAATCAAATTGCTCAAATAAATGGTGCAATTTCTTTCTTGTCTGGTCAGCTAGACGACCACGAGTCCCCTTCAGCAATATCAGTCCATGGTCGCGATCAGGGGCGTAGGAAGCACCTGGAGTTTGGGGGAGCACCGGCTTGTAGGGGCACATTACTATCGGAAAGGGCACCTAAAAAATTTTTCCCGGAAATGTTGTCGGAAAAATTTTCCGTCGTATCATACCGAAATTTATGTTTGTGACCTAATTTTTTAAAAAAAATTGTAAATTTCCACACAAAAACGGCACCTATTGTTTTAATTTAGTATTTACAGCGACATTAGCTTCTACAAAAGGGGCACTTTTCCTCACAAAAAAGGGCACTTTTCAACACAAAAAGGGCACTTTTTATCACAAAAAAGGGCACTTTTAGTCCTTTAAAAAAATTTGGGGGGGCACGTGCCCCCCGTGCCCCCCCGCTTCCTACGCCCCTGGTCGCGATACAGGCCGACACGATCTTTCCCAAACGTTATCGATAGTTCATTTAAGATGAATAAACCAAGAAGTTCACAAACTTCCGCTCCGTCAAAATTTCCCATTGTGACATCGAACATACTTTGATTGTTGCGTTTAATCCAAGGCTTTTCATCGTTAAATAGCAGAGAACTTCGAGCATATTTAATTATGGAAATATGCTGCTCGGTTATAGTAGTGAAATTCGTCGCCCATTTGATCGCTTTATCCAGAAGTTCTTCGGTGATTGACGGGTAGAATTCGGCGATGTCGAAGGGCAGGAAAGAGTTGTTTGCTTTATTATTTATGTGCTTGAACCATTCGATGACGGATTGCGAGTCTTTCCATTGGTTAAAACCAGTTGCAGTTCTAATCTTGGAATTAATGTCATCGAGAATCACTTTGCTCACCTTGCCGAGTTCACTTTTTGCTGGATTTATATTATAAGTCGGAATTTTGGGCTTTTCTCAAAGTTCTCTATGTGATCTTTGACAGTAATGAATGCTTCACGTTTCGCCATGGTTTCAATACGATCGCTGATATTAAGATCTGAAGCAATATTCAGTAACTCGTAGTTAATGTCATCTATCATATCGTCGCTGCCAAGTTTGTACGTTTTTGTTATGTTTTCTTTCAATATTTTATCATATACGTCGGGTGGGCTTTCGTAAATGTTCCTTGACTTATCAGCAAACATATAAACATTAGGAGATGATTTGATTTTCTGTAGATCATTGTCAAGTGTTGTAAGAAACTTATCATTTACCTTTCTGAATTCAATGTTCTCAATCATACGGACAAGGTCTTGTTCAAAACGTTTCATTTGGGTGATAGATGGAGGTGATTTCTTTGACTTTAAACCATAAGTATGCTTTTCAGTAATGTTGCAACCGTTTAGAAAGAAATGCGCTTTCCATCTCATACGACTTACGACGTGCTCAACCTTCTCAATGAGTCTTTTTCTGTACGCGTCTTTTGATGGTAGACCAATGTTCTTCAAAGAATAGTCAAACAGAATCCTTTGCATGTTGAATAGCTTTATTTACTATTGCTTGTATACACGAAGCAGAGTGCACAACGAACTCGTACCCAGTGCCTTTGCGCGGTTCAGAGGCTCTGGTACGGGAAGCAAAGGCCCTGGTAAACACTGGTCACGTGTGTCCAAAAATATTGGACATTTTTGTAACCTGGCCTTATTAAAGTCATGTCATCCCAGGGGGATGAACAACTGAACATTGCAATGGGCGAACTAAATTTTAAAAATGCATATTTTGCCTTTGATTTTTAAAATTATATGAATGTATAACAAGTGTTTTAAAATCCATAGTTAAAACACCAGGCAGCAGATTTTAAGCTTGTTTTTATTTTGATGGAAATTATAAACTTTGAAGCCACATGGATTTTGAATGCTATAAAGATCGAATGCAGTATATTCGAGGTACGATTTTATGATGCATATTATATTTATATAAAAATTATTTTCTCTTATATTTATCATTATATATCCTAAATTCCAGCAGATTCGTGGTTCTCTGTTTGTATACTTAGTTTTCTTCGTCTAATTATTCCTCCATCTTTCGCTTTCGGATATTAACCCTCCTTCATGCCTGATATATTTTTTTTTATCTGCATCCTTCACTAAAATCAAAGTCTTCTGTTCCAGCTTGAAGCACTTGCTCAGAAAATATTCAGTCTTTCATAGCTGGAGTTCTCTTTGACATGTAAAATCGTCAAGCTGTACCCTCAGCAAAATACTTATTTAACTGGCTGACTATTACAGTAGTCAAAAGTTAATAAATGAATATACATGCAAGAATTACAAATTAACTGCCCTCATTCCAACCATTGGTCTCTGACTCATCCAATAAAAACTTAACAGATAGTACGATGATAATAGAAGTGTGAAAATTCCAACCTTACCTGTTACCTAACTTTCTGTACATGATAAGAAAGTTAGATTACATTAATTTTACAGTCAGGTACTCTTTTCTTTATCGCCTCAATACTCTCTGACTGGTTTATGATTTTGATGTTTAATTTTAAAAAAGTCCAATGGCCAACATACATTCTACGTACTGGAGAAAATGATCCCCCACCTCTTGCCATAAAATCTCCATAGCCCCCAATTTTAGTATTTTGCCCATCGAAAGTCCTGAGAGTCTTGCACATGCACCAATGGGATAATCAAATATGGCATACTTTGTTATTTTTCTCTGTCCAACACATAGAAATAATAGATATCTATTATTTCTATGATCCAACATCAGACAATTTTACTTGTCAAGGGTAAGGTTAAGTGAATAATAAAAAGTGGCTGGATATTCTATGCTTGCTCCATATAATTGGACTTTGGTTGTGGGCAAAATGTAAAAAGACAATTACCAGTAATCAGTATTAACTTACTACATCCCTATTATTTACCTTAGTTGCGACCTTGAGCACTTGTGCTGTTACTAATACAGCAGAATGTTGTTTCAAATGACAGTTATTTTATGGCAATGATATTCCAGTGAGACATTTGTTGTTTGTTTCTGTTTTAGTATTAGATCGAAAAGGTGGATACAGGTTTTCAGATCCTGGAGTGCTGTGAAATGGCCTTAACCTTGGGCAATTAAGTAATATGAGTGGTGTGATAGGAAATTTTTGATTCATTGTGATTGACTATAAATAAATTAGAATGGTGAGAATAATGATGATGATAGTGAAATACAAGTTGTGATGATACTGGTGATGCACAAGTTGTAATGATACTGCTGATAATAAAAATATATTGTACATACCAATTGTAATGAGACATAAATAATAAAGAGATTGGCAGTAATGAATGTGTATGACTTGATCAATTGTACTGGTGGGAAGGCAGAACCTGCATGGGTGCATTCTTGTATATTGTGTAATATTGCCATGGTTTGGGTAAATGCCAATATATTGCCACCTAGATGAAGTCCCATGCCATTTTGTGTTCAAAACTAAGGTCATGTTCTCATCAGCTCCAATCATAACTGGGAAAGTTGGTTTCAGCCCTGCTAGCTGGTCTTGAAGCTATGTGCACACATATAAATATTCATTTTCCCCCTCCTGAATTATATTGTTTGCACAAATCTAGAAACAGCCAGTGAATGTTTGTTTGAATTTGGTATGTTCATTCTGTGACAAGTGAAAGTGACATATAATTCATACATAATATGGTGATCTTTTGTTTCGGGATGTAAAAATGAAATTTACTTACTGATAAAATTCAGTGTAACCATATTTATCAAGCCTCTGTGTCTCTCTGTTCAGCCCTACCTCCTCAATACAAATAAAACTCTGCATAGTAGAAAGGACTGAATAGGTTTTTAATTTCCCTAAGAAATTACTGACATAAATTACAGAGTGACATTACTGATAAAAGTATGATGCATCAAAACACCCAATATCAGTCCTAATTTTCCAGACCAGCTGTGAATAATAATACTTCAATTAAACCCAAAATAATTTTTATGGGAAAGAAGTAATTATAGTATTCTCAGTAAGTGGAACAATTGACCATCATTATAGAAATTATGAGCCAAAGATATTTGAAAACACAGTATGATATGTCAATCTTGGTGCTCAACTATCGGTGTATTATTTGTAAAAAGGGTAGCAGTCACAATGGTAACAATAACGTTTGTGTGGTTAATCTGGTTGAAGCAGAGAATTTAATCTCCTGATACAAGACATGTTTTCTTGGGGTTGTAGCAAAGGTCTTTCATGAATTCTAAGACAGCCCAGCTGATGTTGCCAATTGTATTGAACCAAAGCTATTAGACAGGGTACAATTACACTTTTCCAAGATATTTATTATATACTATAAGACACAACTGACAAATTAAGTATTTCAGAAAAATATTTACCCCAAAATTATTAGTGACTTATTGCCGTGACTAAAATTATCAAATTTCATAAATCATGAACCAATGTAAATGCAAATGTAAGCAAATAGGTGAACGCACACCCAGTACAGACTGTTATTTGCCTTTAGACTCCTAAGTCTGGTTTTTGCTTACATTTATATATCAGATTCCTAACAAATTTGTTACTTTATACATGTCCTTCAGGACTTCCTTCTATTATTTTTCATATTTCAAGATCACTGGATATTATTTCTCATGATTGGTACCACCCCCCCCCCCCCCCCCCCCAATCTTCCAGACAATGAGAAATAAACATCCCAAAAAATAAATATGAAATTAACTCACACACAAAGGTTTCAAGATACTGTATATAATTTCATTCACAACTGTATTTTAAACTACATACATACGGAAACCAACCTGTCACTGTCAAAATATTCTGCTTTGCTAACTACATGTTTACACATGAAGAATTTCGTTTCCATGGATGTCCCTTTCACTATACAGTAATACAGGCACATTACGGAGTATATATTCTTCCATGAAAGTACAATAAAATCCCAAGTGATATTCTTTGGTCAATACGTAAAAATTACTTATCATCATTATTAATCAACAATGTTTATTTAATTCTTTATAAAACGTCGCACATAAGCAGCTGCATCGATACGAAATAGACAGTTATTTAATAAAAGACAGATCACTAGACTAGTTTTCTCTCAGTTTGATCCTCGATCTTTGATAAGTATTACCATGGATAATAAAATAAATGGATAGGAAACTAGCTGACGTGACCTAATGTTTTCAATGGGCTGATGGCGTGGTTGGATGTTGAAACCTAGTTGCAAACCAAATTCTCAAAAACGGCATGTTTAGCAATAATACAGCTAAACATTTTAGTCAAAGAGCAAATAAATATAACTACGCCATTCTACGATGAAATCTCTAAGTATTCCCAGTCAATTTTAGCAAATATTTCAAGCACTAAACAGTGAAAAAATGCATCGCAAATTTCGTTAAAATTGGCGAGCCCAATTTCGTAGCTACAAATGTAAAAAAATACATAACAAAGACGAAAAACATTTACCTTGAATACTTTGTCGTTGCTTAGGCATGTTTTTCAAACAATTAGACCAGTCTATGCTTCAGTGTTACTCCTTTAAAGCGGAAAACATAGCGAAACAAAAAAAAAATGCTGAGAACTTTGGCAATACGCGTGACGTCACAGATTGCGAGTAGGTTTAGACTGTGACGTCAGGAAGTTTCCTATCCAGTTATTTTACAATCCATGGTTTTATTAACGCGCGCTTTGAAATAAGTTTTACAAAAATGTTTTTTTGAAAAAGAAGTTTTATCAATCTACTTTTGAACGATTGAATACAGTCGATAAATAATACATCAGAATGTTGTTATAAAATAGACGAATTTAATACATTTTGGTTGGTTTGGGAAGCGGAATACGAAATCACAGGCCCAATTGGCAGGTTAATAACCTCAAGGTGGTAATAAAATTGACATTGAAATACAGATCAATTTAGCGTGAATAGTCGATACATTTGCGTTCGACAATTACTATATATACCCAAATTCTGTGATAAAATAGACGAAGTTAAAGCATTTTGGTTGGTTTGAAAAGCGGAATACGAAACAAACGTGTGAATTCACCTTATTTCACCGCATACTTACGCACCAGCCACCAAATATATCCGTTTCATTTAAGCTGCTGCATACATTGATACACGAATGATATCAAATGACGCGGTTTCATTAAATGCTAATAACGTCATCGTTACTTGAGCCAACGTATTCTTTTGTCCACCAGAAGAGTAAAACCGCTTACCCGCGGCAGAGTTATGTTTGAATAACCTACTAACATAAGTGGCATTCGAATGAACCGGAACTACAAGAATCACTCATTACCCCCAGCGGACGAAGTGACGTACGCAAAGCAACAATTGAGAACAGCCCACGGCGGATATTGTAGTTTATTAGGACTTCAGTGGAACAAATCCTCTGACACCATCAGTGTTACCATTTCCACCGAGTCAGTGAAACCAACTAAGCGAGGAACTTTACAGAAACGTGCGAGAATCTATGACCCGTTGGGTCTAGTGTCACCGCAAACCCTTCAAGGAAATCTACTGAGAGATATATATGTCAGAAGAAGATCGGATGGGACGTAGATATCGATAGCGAAGTAAAGAAGAAACTAGTACGTTGGGAACGAGACCTACCGAACCAAGTCACGACAGAGAGATCGTTAGTGAAGTTCCGCGAGAACATAGATTCAATAGAACTACATGCTTTCGGGGATGCAAGTAACCAAGGCGTCTCAACCGCTGTGTACGCAATTGTCCATCAACCATCAGGTGTTAGCCTTGGACTAGTGGCTGCAAAGTCGAGATTGGCAAAGCAAGGCCTCATCACCATACCTCGTCTGGAGCTGGTGTCTGCCCATATGGCTGCTAACCTCGTCAGTAACGTGGAAAAAGCTTTGGGCGGATTTCCAATCACTGTAATACAAGAGTGGCTCGACAGCACAGTCACACTTCAATGGATCAACGGCGGGGGAGAGTACAAACAATTTGTTGCAAATCGAATCTAGAAGATAAAATCAAACACCCGAATTCAATGGCGTCAAGTACCATCCGAGCAGTACCATCAGCAGATCTAGGATGAAACAGGAAATTTTGGTGGAATGGTCCAGAAATGGCTAGACACTTATGAAAGCTGACCTGAACATATCACCCCTTCGCCGACCAAAGAAAGCAATGCCGAAGCGAAGGTTGTCAAGCAAGTACTCATAGTATCCTTAGAGGACACTAACAAGCTAAACGAAGTGCTCCAGAAACATGACGTATGGACAGCCTTGAGAATATTTCATCTCTGCATGGGTAGCAAAATTTGCTTTCAACTGCCGCCAACACAAGAAGAAACTTCGAGGTCAACTTACGACCACCGACATCGACAAGCAGATATTATTCTGGATTAAGCGTACCCAATCCAGCAATGAGTACGAAGAAGAGCGGTTAACCCTGAATCTACAACCAAATTAATTCGGTGTGTTGGTCTGTCAAGGACGAATTCAAGGAAGCTATCCCGTGTTTCTACCAGACACAAGTTAGTAGCTAATATAGGCCGGTCCTAGGACAAAATGGTTAATACTTCATGTAAGGCAAATTATAGTGGATCCGGGCAAGCATGGGCATGTCTGGAATCCATTTCCCGGAAGTCGGATTTCCCGGAATAGAATCGATGACGTCACTTCCGGTCCCCCGATTTGCCGCGCCACCCTGAGGGTCCTCTGCCTACCGGACACCTCCCCCGCCGCTCGCGGAGTCGTGACCCTCACCTCCCCCACCGCCCGCACGGCCGCAACCATCATCTCGCGGATCCGTCCGCAATCCATCCGCCACATCCTCCGTAAGATCGCCGCGTCCGCCGCGTCCCTCACGCTTGTTGGAGTCTTGGTGGGGGAATTTGGCAAAATCAATATAAAGGTAAGCGTTCCTGTAAAGAAAACAGCAATGTCCATTTCAATAACAAAGATAGAGGGATTCTCTGGAAAATCATTTGACTTTGAGGAACCTGTCGGAAACAGATTTGGATCTGAAAGTATCGGGCTTGTGGCGGAGGACGGCGCACCCCTATTTCTTCAACTGAAGGACTGCTTAACTTATGGGATCAATAAGGACAAGAAGTTTGGAAAGGAGAATTTTACCATCCCACTGGCTGTTGGAAACCACAAGGACTTCATATCGGCCCTGGAAGTATTGGAGAGAAGGTGTGCCGAAGAGACCGGAAAATCCGGAACGAAAGCCATAAGATGCTTTTATCGGAGCGGGAAGCAGCCCGTCCTATACGCAAAAATTGATAATACCACAGTGATGTATAAGGATGGGGGAGGGGATGTAGAACCCATGAAACCCATCGACAAGCATTTTTACCTGGATGCTTTGATTAGGTTCCCAAGCATATATGTGTCTGGAGATATGGTCTCTGTTCAGGTACTAATTCAGGAGGGGGTATACCTGAGGGAAAGGAAGGCGGAACCCTGGAAGAGGCTTTTGCGTCGTATTCACCCTTCTGCTTGAGGATTTCCCGTTGCTCTGTGGTGTAGTGAGGTGTCATTAGGTCCAGATTTCCGATGTCGTCCTTACCCAAACCTTTGGTGAGTTTGTCCAGGGAGCTTGCCATAAACTTGAAGTAGTCCAGAAATCTTATTTCCCTTTTGATATTCTTTTCATTACAGTCTTTGTTTTTGAACTTATCAACCTCTACCTCCTCGGTAAAGGATATATATTTTTCTTCCGTCTTTGGGATGCATTTGATGTCTCCGCTGCTCACGCCGAGGTTTTTGATAAATAAATGGGCATCGTATCTCTCGAGGTTGTGGAATAGGACGGGAATGAATTTCGGCTGCCTCATCCTGAGGTTGCATGAGTTGTGTGCTGCACCTTTGTACTTTCCTATGTAGTGGCAGTGGTCGTTGAGTTTGTAGTCTTTTAGTGTCAATTCCTCCTTACACGCGTAGCAGGTGGTTGCTTCTTCGTAGTTCTTGGTATCACTTGAGGTCATTTTGACTGGTTTTTTGAACTTGAACTTGTTGTAGATATCTCGGATTTCCTCCTCGAGAAGGTCCACAAATTTTTTGGTGATGTCTTCCCCCTCATACTGTTGGGTATAGTGTACCAGCTTGGGTTTGTATATGGAGTTGTCGAAGCATTTGACATAGTAGCAGAATCCGCTGGGGTTGTGTTTCTGGTATTGTGTGGTACTTGACTTGTCTATACTTTGCTCTTCTGCGATCAATTTCCTGATGTAGCACTCAAAGTCTGCGTAGATGGTAGTAGGGAATTCCTGTGTCTTTTCATAGTTTTCGAATTTTGTGGTGCTACCAGGTTTTGGATATTCGTGTCTTTGGTAGTCGTTGTTCGAGCATAATTCCAAGTGTTTTTCTAGGAGTTCGTTTGACCCGAATGCGTTAACCCTATTTGTACCGGGGGTTTTTCATGTTGATGTGACCGGGGGTGCGCTGATAGGGCGCACCCCTCAGAAATTCTGTCGATTAACTGCTATTATCCTATAAGTTTTATTTTTAGTAAGTTTTATCTTTCTTTAACCTAAAAATAACAAAAAAGTTAAATTCACATCCAAAATGCTGTTTTTTGGCCCCATTGAATATGACCGCCTATCCGAAAATGGCGAATATAGCTAATATTTTACCCATTTTGGTTATATTTTGTAAAGAGATAACAAAACATTTTGGATGTGATATTTTTTGGTCTTTTACATTCAAAAGACATACTTTTATGTTATAGCATATCTCAGTTGTCCATAAACACCACTATTTTACTTTACAAGTTGGCATTTCTGTGCCATATGAAAAGACATACAACTGAAACTTACCAGTCTCTCATATAAACAATCCAAATCATTTTCAAGTTTCAACATCACTGATTTTACCTTCATATCTTTGTGACAGTGTCATTGTTGTATAAATAATGTTCCCTTATTCTCTTAGTATGCAGAATTGTGCATTCTGTTGAAACTCTAGCACTTTTTTGGCATAACTTCTGCAGTGTAAACATAAAATGTCGACCAACAAAAGTTTGTAGAAAAAATACGAAATGGCGGCCAAGTTTTATACCAATATACTATGTGTTACATGAAGTGTAAGGCAGGTGAGCTACGAGATACGAGCCTGCAGTATAGTTTTGAAAACACAATATTTACTTTGAAAATTATGGCAATCATTATGGATTGTATGCAAATGTTTTACTCTCATTTGGAACTGAATTTCTGGTACGAAAGTGTTCAATATATAATGCATCCTACAAGTTTGATTCTTGCTGAAAGACAGGGAGATGTTATGCCTTGAAGGTACAAAGAAATATGTATGTGTATTTGAATATATAAAAATATTATAAATAAGTATTTTATATTATATAATTATAAGTATTGTATAGTATGCTATATTATATGTTATACTATATTTTACTCTTTGATATGGATATAATATATTATGGATATTTTACTTTACTATGTTGTTAGGAGGAAGCAATTTCCGGTTGTAGCTTCTGTTCTGTCGGTTACGTTCCCGGCGGAATCTATGTTCTTAAATTCAACACCACGGATCTGTATGTTTGTGCTGGTAACTATGAATGAAAAGGATGTCCGGATAATTTTACTCCTCTGGTCAACTGTAAATATAACAATCGTCCCCCTACTCGTTTCGTAGAATCCGTACAGAGGGGATGAACTCGAATAATTTATTTCATTACCACTGACACTGAATACCATAAATTTTGCATTCTTCTTATATCGGTGTCTGTAATGGTGGGTGTTTGAAGAAATCCGGGTGGATACCCAGGTGTTTGTGTAAAATCGTACTGTACCGAATTTTTCCCGAGGCTATTCAACCTTACGATGTCGTTTGCATGTTTAACAACTTCTGCCGTGTTTCCCTACTGTGCCTTTTCAACTACTGTTAATTCCCGTTTTAGGATATCTAGGTCTTCTGCTGTTGTATCAAAGTAATCGTACCCGAGTAAGATGCTCATTTTAATTAACGTCGAAATACTAGGTATGCAAGTCCAAAGGATGCCACTGCCGCTGTCCCAAGAGCAATATTTTGGGTATCGGACTTCTGCCTTAGTTCTGGGGGTTTAAAGTCCTCCACGGTTGGGGTTGGTGTAATGTCATGGCTTTCGTCTATATCATTCGTGGGGATAGGAACAGGATTACTAGTATAATTTACCTTCTCATTTTTCCCAAACATCATCCCATTCTTAGCTACCGTTAAAACATTGCTGAATCCCTGAATAGGTTTCATTAAAAGCAGATCTGAAGGGATTAGCATTAAACCTGGCATGATTGCAAAATTTAGGACGACGTGGGTATTAGCAATAGCCATCCTCATGTTGGAGATTGTAACTGTCACATCGTCTTGTACAATTGTATCTTCTACCACCTTACGGAAAATTTCCTGTGTCTGCAGACCTTTTGCACCCTGACCCGTAATACTCCATCGGGTTTCGGCCTGTGCCCTCAGAACAGAGTACACAAATGCTTCGATCGATTGTTGGAATAATTTCTGTCCAACTTTGGTAAGTCCCCGGGATGTTTTGGGAATAAAGGTTTTATAGTCGTTTTCAACATCAAAGGGTGATCTACCAGTCAGGTATTCATATTCGATAAATGAACCTCCATATTTGGTTAAATGGTACTTCTGACGCCGTATTCTTTTTTGTTCACTCACAGGTAAGCCGTAGTACCATGTCCCAATGTTTGCATGGGAAGAGACGGTCCTCCTAACCCATGTCTCACGTACAGGCATATACTTCCTAATGGTTCGTATATCATCTCCTGTAAGATATTGGTCTAGTAGTTTGGGATTACGCCTGAACCTCGAGAGGTGGAAATAAAGATGGAAGCGAACAATGGAGGTTACTAAACCCTAAACTTAGATAGGATGCATTGGGATACCTTCTGGTGAAGTCCGACTTCATTTTCCGGATTTCAACGGGTGCTACTGCTTTAACCTTCTCATAGTTTTCTCCGTAGTAGTTCCGAAAGATATCCTCATTCATTCTTTTATTTGATGTGAAGTTCTAACAAGACATCTCTGGGAACAGCTCCAGTATTAGATCCGATCCCGAACCGGATTTCGCTGTACCTTCCAGCATCCACCCGTACTTGACTTTCGATGTCGTTGTATTTGGTTGTGGTTCCAAAGAGAGGTCTTGTCCCATCGATCGGAAGTGAAGTGATGACGGTGCTCCTATTTCCGTACGGTCCGATGTTATGATCGCGGTTCACAAGGTTACAGTTGACTGTGAGGTACCGCAAGCCTTCATGGATGTGCACGGGACGATCGCTAGTGTGTGGGGGTTTATGTAGGACCATTGGAGGACCGGTAGCCCAGAATACCAGTGAGATTCCGGAGTCCTGCGGAATTTGTCCCCTTAGCAAAGTCGATCCTTATTCTTCCATCGGGATATTCCTTAAGTGTCAATCCGTTTTTCTCCAGCTCTTTCCTAAGCTGTTTAAAGGTCCAGTACCCTTCATCTATCATAATCTTCTTCCCGTCTACGGAAATGTAGTCATTGAACCCCTTACGAATATCTTTATAATTCCAGAACACAGCTGCAGTCTTTACGTAAAGTTCGGATCCATGGGTAAGGATCAGTGGATTCTGTAAATCCAGGGTAATCCCTCCGCTTTCAACATAGACTGTTATCTTCTTCATGTTTTATTTACAGGTAATAAAATGAGTCTGCCATTGGATGTAGCTCTCCGGGAAATATACTTTAACGTTAACGGTGGGTACATGTCTATGGAAAAATTATACCAAAGTGCAAAGGAGGAGGGTATAAAGGGAGTTAGCCGGAAAAATGTTAGAGAATGGTTACAGACACAGAATACCTATATTATTCACAAACCGTCCAGAAAACATTACAAGACCCAAAGGACCTATGCGGACGGACTTGCACAACAAATTCAAATGGACCTTGTGGATATGAGTAAATTTAGTCACGGGAATAAGGGAAACCGCTGGATTCTAACTGTTATAGAGGTCCTAAGCCTTTGCCATCCCCGTATGGAGGAAAAATACCGAAAGCATGACAAAGGCTGTCGAAAATATTCTCATACAATTTAAGGAAAGGTTTGGTAGATATCCGAAAACAGCTCAGTTCGACGATGGAAAGGAATTCTACAATGTAGGAGTAAAAACATTGGTAAAAGATCATGATGTCCATTACTTTTCCACAAGAACCTTAGCCGCACTGGTTGAAAGATTCAATAGGACCCTAAAAACAAGGATGTGGAAATATTTCACGGAAAACAGGACGAAAGTTTGGGTGGATATCTTACCTGCTCTCGTTAGATCCTATAATAATTCTACACACAGAACAATAGGAATGAAACCGGCTAATGTGAACGAGGAAAATAAGGACGAAGTTTGGACAAGAATCTATGGATATCCGCTAAGCAGTTTTCCGGATCCTAAATTTAAGGTTGGGGATCATGTCAGGGTGGAAATAAAGCACAAAACCGTTGAAAAGGGATACGAACCCAATTTCGACAACGAAGTATACGTCATTACATCGGTGTTCCGGGGAGATCTCAACATGTACAGCCTTAAGGATCCGGAGGATGGGGAGGATATTTTAGGGGGTATTATGAACAGGAATTATCTTTAGACTTAAATAAAAATGGAGGATAACATAGAGATGAATGACTTCGACCGACTGGAAGGAGCTGAAGGAGGTGATGAGGGGGTTATTGATGATACACCTATTGACGAGGATGACTTTCTTTCAGGACTAGACGACGATCAAAGACTAGACGATGCAAAAACCTCCAGTTTCCGTGAGGAAAATAAAGACGACTCATACAGGAAGAGGAAAAGGCAGTTAGACGAACTAAGCACATACGGAAAATTTGATGACATAAAGGTAGAATATGTTAGGAAGCTCTTTCAAACTGAGTACCGAATAGACCCTGCCGATGGACAGAACTCTAAGGAACTTGTCTCCCGTTTGGACCTCACTAAAATATACGCGTGATGTATATACAATCTATCTAAGGATAAAAAATCCGCCGAATCTGGAAATGCATTTCAACCAAAAAAATAACACACAAAATAGTCAGTACAACCCCTACAATGCTGTCGTTGTGATATAGATAATGACAAAAGTCACCAATCCCCCCACCAAGACTCCAACAAGCGTGCGGGACTCGGCGGACGCGGCGAGCTTACGGAAGATGTGGCGGATGGATTGCGGACAGATCCGCGAGATGATGGTTGCGGCCGTGCGGGCGGTGCGGGCGGTGCGGGAGGTGAGGGTCACGACTCCGCGAGCGGCGGGGGAGGTGTCCGGTAGGCAGAGGACCCTCAGGGTGGCGCGGGAAATCGGGGGACCGGAAGTGACGTCATCGATGCTATTCCGGGAAATCCGATTTCCGGGAAATGGATTCCAGACATGCCCATGCTTGCCCGGATCCACTATAATTTGCCTTACATGAAGTATTAACCATTTTGTCCTAGGACCGGCCTATATTGGCTACTCACGTTCTTTCACAGTTAAGTTGGTAGGGCAAGCCCACATGCGCACCCTCCATGGGGGAGTGGATATGGCCATGGCTCACATCCAAGAGAAGTATTGGATTACAAGACTTCGCAGACTTCCTCGGAAAGCGATCAAGGGATGCTATGGTTGCCGGAGATTCCAAGCAAAAGCCCTGGAGCAACCCTCACCCGGACTGCTCCCACGTGACAGAACAGAAGGAAGTCGCCCATTCCAAACATTAGGAGTAGACTTTGCGGGGCCATTGCAGTACAAGAGACGAAACAAGTCCGAAGGAAAATCCTACATAGTGTTATACGCCTGCAGTTTGGCCAGAGCAGTCTACATCGACCTACTTGCCAGCTTATCAACGGAAGAGTTCATCAGGAGCCTGAAAGGATTCATCGCAAGGAAGGGAATACCTGAAAGGATCTATTCAGACAATGGTAAAACATTCTTAGCGGCCGCCAAACAACATGATGTTTGCTAGTTCCAACTAATTGCCAGAACTAGAGGCTCATCACCTTGGTGAAACAGATCTACAGATCTATTGTCCAGATGCAAGGACGCGGTTTGGAAACGATGGACATCAGAGTACTTGCGTGCGCTACGTGAGAAACATAACCAGTCTCACGGTACGAAGTCAGTGGAATTAAACACCGGAGATGTGGTTATAATAAAGTCCGACGAGACGAATCGAGCAAAATGGAAATTGGAAATTGTAGATGAGCTTTTCAAGGGACGAGACGGCGTGGTGAGAGCAGTAAGACTAATTCGAGCAGGAAAGAATTTCTTGGAAAGACCACCCATTCATTTGTATCCCTTGGAGCTATCTTGTGACAAGAAAGAGAAGAAGAATCAAGAAACCTTGAATCCAGATGTTCCACCATTCAGACAACAGTTAACTGTGTTCAGACCAAATGATGCAGCAGTAGCAGCAAGACAACGGATTCAGGAAGTATCGACCGTTGAGAACTAATAGGTATATCAGTAGACCTATATAATCATGAGAACAGTAGTCTCCCAAAATACATATATCTCGACTAGCGAGCTATATGGGGGAGTGTGTCATATAACCACAATAAGTTCCTACTAGAAAATACATGCATGCAGAAACCCTCGCCTTGCTGACAAAACCATTGTATTTTCCGAACATGAAGTATCTAAAGTAGTTGTCGTGGCAACACGATAATTTTTTAAGAATATTCTTACAAATGAAAAATCGTTTAAAAAATATCACTTTTAAGGCCCGTTTACACGACAGTCATTTTGGGTACGGCACGCTTAAATATTGGCACGCGGACCCACGCTTTTTAGTTCGCCTAATGCGTTTACACGACGAAATTTTTGTTCTAAAAATTTTGGGTTCGGCACGCCTAAAATGGGAACGGCACCCCTAAATTTCGAGCCTGCTTGTCTGTCTGTCAGAGGTGTTTCACAAACAAACAGACGAAACGTCATGTAGGGAGAAGGTATTGGTTTCCAAATTCACAATGGCGCCAAACGAAATGGAAAGGAGAAAAGTACTTGCTTGGTTTTTTTATACGCGCATGAAAGAGAAAAGAAAAACGATTGCAAATTATAATGGTAAACCTGTATGTGTACCATGGTTAAGGTCTATAAAACGGCGAAAAATGGAAAATTTACAAGCTATTTTAGCTGGTGCTTTTTATCCACGTATTAGGGAAGTTTGGATGCGTCCTCGATCTTCTGCTTGGTTTGAAATGGTAGAAACTTACTTCACGGATGACCAATGGTATGATAACTTTAGAGTGACTAAAGGTACCTTTGCATTCATTTTAAGTAAGATCAACTTAGACATATCACATAAGGACACGGTCATGCGAAATGCTGTACCTGCGAAGCGTCGCCTAGCCATCACGTTATACTTCCTTGCATCAACAGCAGAGTACAAAACAATTGCTAACTTGTTTGGAGTTTCTGCTGCTTTTGTATGTATTTGTGTAAAGGAGGTGTGTCATGCTGTCCGGAAACGTTTGCCAACTGTAGTCAGCTTTCCAGAAGGAGAAAATCTACTCCAAATTATCAGGCGCTATGAAGAGAAATGGGGATTTCCTATGTGTGCTGGTGCTATAGACGGTACCCACATCCCTGTAT